CACGCATACAACACCTGTAGAAGAGTAACTAATACAACTACTTAGGAAAACAGTTTGTTATCTACTAAAGTTGAAGATATATATGTCCTAGGACTCATCAATTCCACTCCTACATACATACCATAGATATATATGCATACATACACCTGGGTACATATACAAGATAGTAGCATTGTTTGTGAATAGGCCAAAACTGAAAAAAGCCCAAAAGTCCATCAACCACAAAACTGGGGTATATTCATTTAATAAAATAGTAAAGCTGCAAAAATAAATATATTGAAGTTTAAAAAAGCAATTTATAAATACTTAGGTATCAAAATAATAAAGGAAAACAGTAAGGTGATAAATATCAGAATACTGACCACCTAAAGCACAAGGGAGAAAGCTATAATCTGGAAAGGTTAGGCAGGAACACTGGGAGTCCCAACAATAATCTGACTGTTAAATCAGGATGGCGGTTACATGGATGGTCACTCTACCATAAATCTTTAAACTGTAAATTTGTTTTATGGACTTTTCTATGTTTTATTTCATAAAAAAACACTGTAAAATTAGCTCACTGGAATTCCAAACACAACCAAAAGGAAACCAAGACTTATCAAAACTACCCTATTACAGTAAACAGGTACCACAAATGTCCAGAAATATATTTTAAAATTAAATCAAATTAAATGTAAGACAATTGTTTAAATGCTAGTACAAATTTGGCTTTTACATGAAACCCAAAGCTCCTTTGGTCAATCAGACCATGAAGAAAGAATAACATTTTCATTTAAATACATATACTTATTAAATGCTGTGGTAGGCAGAATCTAAGACAGCCTCCAAAGATTCCCACTTAGTATTCACACACTCATGTAATTCCCTCTCTTGGTGTGAGCTGGACTTAATGATTTGCTTCTAATGACCAGAAAACAGCACATGTGCAGATGTAACTTCCAAGATTAAGTTATAAAAATTATATAACTGCTATCTTCAAAATGCTCTTTCTCACTTGCTCCCTTTGAGAGAAGCCAGCAGCCATGTAGAAAGCTACCTATGGAGAAGCCCATGTGGCAAGAAATTGGTATCTCTATCTAGTAGCCAGTGGGGTGAGCTTGGATGGGTTCCTATCCTGGTCAAACCTTGAGGTAACTGCTGCCCTGGCCAACACCTTGAATGTAGCCTGGCAGAAACCCTGAGCCAAGGCACTCAATTATATGGCATCATAATTCCTGACCCAAGATATTAAATGTTTAATTTTTTAAGTCATCAAATTTGAGCATAACGTGTCACACAATAATAGATAACTAATGCAAATGCCTACTACTATGTGCCCTTCTCTTAATATTTGAAAAAGAGTCAGTAGGGGAAAATAACTCAAAAATTAAATGTAGGGTTCTTTTTTTTTTTAAGATTTTATTTATTTGACAGAGAGATAGACAGCAGAAGCAGGCAGAGAGGCAGGCAGAGGGAGAGGGAGAAGCAGGCTTCCCGCTGAGCAGGGAGCCCTATGCGGGGCTTGATCCCAACACCCTGGGATCATAATCTGAGCCGAAGGTAGATGCTTAACCTACTGAGCCACCCAGGTGCCCCTAAATGAAGGGTTCTAATAGCCCAAAAAGGACTAGCAAGATGTGATATTGAAGTAAATAAGTATGTTAAATCTGAAAAGCAGATTTAACTTCTTAGATTGGTATGTATCAATATCTAAACCAACACTCATCATAACCTCAATAAAAATTAAGTCTAAGATCACAAAGTTAATTTCCAATGTCTGAATGCTAATCTTAGGAAAATAAATTCAAAAGTAGTAGTTTGCCTCCTGCTCAGTCTATATTTTGCTTGAATAAGTTCAAGTATAAATTATACAACTGGAGATAAGACCTCTAACAACTACATTCATTTTGAGGATTAAGCATGCAAATACTTTATAATATATGCAAAACATTCACTTCATTCTGTCTGTACTAAATTATGAGGTATTAATCAACTAATTTCCTAAAATAAAGTTGTTGCTTTTTTTATTTATTTGAGAGAGAGAAACGTGCACACAAGTGGGAGGAAGGGCGTGAGAAGGAGCAGAGGGAGAGGGAAAGAGAATCTCAAGCAGGCTCCACACCCAGGAAAAAGCCTGTCCCACCTCCTTCTCACAACCGTGTGATAATGACCTAAGATGAAATCCAGAGTCAGACACTTAAATGACTGAGCCACCCAAGCACCCCTAGACTAAAGTTTATTATGATAACATAGCACTACTGTACCTGACTCCAATTATGAGGAAATTTATGAAATTCAACGTAATTTAAGTGTTTTGTAAAAACTGTAAATTTTTAAAGTCTGTTAACCTAGCATTAAATTTTCAAATTTGTAAACTTTGTTAACCTAGCTCATCAGAGTCTCTTGTATAATTAAACCTGAAATACTCAAAATCACTCAATTCTGGGTACATTAAAAAAAAAAACAAAATGTATTAATTACAATTTAATCAGTGCACAAAAAAGGCACCAATATCCTGAAGTACTTAGAACTAGTGCATTTCTCGGTTAAATTGCCTACCATTAGACAATATGGTTCATGGGGGTAAAAGAAATCATCCAATCACAAGGATCAAACTAAAGTTAAGCTGTAAAATTCTACAGCACAATTAACCCAGACATTTAATGACAAAAATATAGAAACACTGATACTAAGAGCTATGTGATCAAACACAGTATCTTAGAAGGTATTAGTCAAGGTCATCAGCCACCACATCAGAGAGAGGACAAATTCCTATCACAAGAAGAGTTACTTACTAGGAAACAACCCTCTATTGATCTCTCCCATTTCAGAACATGCTGTCATAGCTTTTGTTCCAAATTATCTTTTCAAGGATGTTTCTACAGCAAATACCCTGGCAAGACAGAAATAGTGACTTTTTCCAGGACAAAGGGCAGATTTGTTTTCTGATCAATATGATAAAAAAAAGTATCTCCCTGAAGGGCAAAGACTAGACAGGTTTTCCAGCAGACCCCCTTAAAAGACTGGGATTTCCTAAGCTCAGGGTTCCTTAGTTGTTACATAAATCCACTTTATGTGCAGCATTCACCTGAGCCCATCTCCACATCGCCCCTGTGGGGCTTGCGGGTCAGAGAAAACATGCAAACATGCAGCAGCTGTGCCAGATGTGCCATAATAAAGTCCTCTATCTCCAGCCCAGAAGTCTCATGGAACTGACAGCACAAATGAAACTGTGACAGGATAACTTGTCAGCTTGCTAGGAAGGAATTAATCTCAGAATCTTCAGTTTCTTTTTTAGAGTTACATGCTGTATCCTTATTACCGGAGAGTTTTGAATCTAACAATTTTTTTGCAAGCATTAATAGATCCCTAGGAAAGCAATGAAAAACCTCAGGGGCTAACGAAAACCTTAAATAATACAGGACACAGATAATGACGAGCCATTTAATTTAACCCCTAGACATCCTCATGTTTGGACTGTACACTTAAATGAGTCATTTATTCATTCATTATCAGGTAATTTCTCACATACTTAGTCCCACTTTCAATGAAGTTTCAAAGTCTAAGGCAGAAAGAAGCATATGGAACTACTGCAAAACAATTTCACATTCTGTTTTAAAGTTGGGAGGTATATATGGAATATGAAAAACCATCACTTTTCCAAAGAATTTTCTGTAACAAAAACATGTTGAGTGTACATATTAATAATTTTATTTCCAGATATAACATTTTCAGCTTTGCTACTCAAAGTGTACTCTCCAAGGACCAAAAGTATCATCACCTGAAACTTGCTAGAAATGCAGATTATGGGGCTCTGAAACATACACCCTTAATCAGAACTTGGATTCTAACAAGATCTTCAGGTGATTCTTATGTATACCAAAGTTTAAAAAGTACCCACTAACAAAGAAAAAAAATAAATCAAGAGGAATAAATTTTACACATGATCTTAGCCAAAAGGCCAAGAAGCAATAGAGAGGAATAAATTTTAAATGTATAGTGAAGATAATGTTTTTTGTTAATAGACATATTAAAATCACAATTATTAGCTCATCAAAACTTAAGGATAAGAGAAAAAGTCATAAGCCATATAAAGATATTTAGCTATTAATAATATCATAATACAGAAAAATCCAATTTGAACTAAGAAAAAATTAAAAAATAGACATCATGAATAATCAAAAAAAGGGGAAATATCAAACTAAGATGATGTAAACGTTCTGACAATGCACACTAACAGTACTTCATCAAAATAAAAACATCTCTCATGTTTTTATTTTCAAAAGTAACAGCCTAGAACTTAGCACATTATAGACACTACATATATTTTTTAAATGACTAAAAAAACAACCTAATTAGACAACTTAAAATAAAAATATAAGATTGGTGACAGTTAGGAATTTAAATATGTAACTGCTTTCAAAGTTATATTAGCATTCTCCCCATAGCACAGGATTTTGCCTTTTACTTTCCCATATTTTGTACAAGTGTGAAATGACTAAGGAATCTTATGAACATTAAATTAGAACATTCTAAGATTATTAATCAAAAAAATTATCTTTTTGCTATCCTTCATGTCTTATACTTTCCAGATTCTAAATAGATAGCTATATTTTTACTTGTATTTTCCCCCAGTATGCATTTTTGCCATAAGAAAAATTTGCAACACTCTCTACTTAAGACTTTATTATCTGAAGTTTCCTAAATTCTCTTTTCAGGTGAAGGGTAGGCTGTCATATGATAATTCTATTTTCTATTTTTTATCACTTTGAGGTAAGTCATTGTATTCAATCCTATAAAAAACTTTTCAGCACATCTCCAAAAAGGGATTTTTAAAATATGAAGTTCTAAGGTAAAAGAAGTTAAAATAACAAAGAGTTAGAAAACTGCCTACAACTCAAATGCTTTTTAAATGTTTAAATAAACTTTTTAGCATGAAATGCCTTTACAAAAATAGCGGGAAATGGGAATAGTCAGCAACAGTAAATGAAACATTATGTAAAACATACAAAATAATATACCTCTCTCTTATTTCTTCTTGCAACCTTGAGGAATTCCATAAGGATCTGTAGTTGGGCTGCATGTGATTCCTATAATAGAAAATTATAATTGTTCTTTTAAAAATATAACTACGAGTTCAAAGTTTTCTTTAACACCACAGTATAACCAATATGAAGCAAATTCATGAATCCATTTAAGTTAGCCTACTACTTCTATTTAATCAGTTTTCCCATTTACTAACTGGCATTTTTAAAAGCAAGCCATTTTCAGAGTGCCTGGATGGCTCAGTTGGTTAAGCCTCTGCCTTCAGCTCTGGTCATGATCCTGGAGTCCTGGGATGGATCCCGGCATCAGGCTCTCTGTTCAGCAGGGAGTCTGCTTCTCCTTCTGTCCCTACCCCCTACATGTGCTCCTTCTCTCTCTCTTCTCTCTCTGAAATAAAAAAAATCTTAAAAAAAAAAAAAGCAAGCCATTTTCCCCAAAACTAAAACTAAATTTTAAGCAGGTGTTTTAAATTACATTCCTCATCTACCATGCTGAAAAAACTATTTACGTGAAATGGCAATTCTGTTATCTGTCCTAGCTTTTTCTTCCAACCAAGCTAACAGAACATCAAGACAAAAATCACAGTGGAATCAACATAGTTCCTAGATACTAAGATCACTTTCTCCATAAGAATTTCATTTCCAAGAAAATAAGAAGCATAATAAACGGGCAGGAATCCATACCTTTCAGAAATTAAACTTACTATTTGTGGTTATCACCTACTTACACAGATGTGAGAATTAATATATTTCCATAGAAAACTTCAGTCAAAATCAAACATTTAAAAACAAATCTTTTAATATAATGGAGTGGAGGGCGAAGATTAAATAACCCAAATTGGTAAGTGAAACAAAAATGTAACAGATAAAAGATGATTATAAGCTTGACATTTTCTGGATATAAAATATAAAACTGCAAATATTTATCTTTTACTGTTAAAATTCACACAAAGAACCAAGGAATTCCAGGTGAACCTGATGAATGAATATATGTAAAACAGTACCAACTGGAATTTTGAGGGAAGAAATGTTTCCATTCCTTCCTTGAGAGAAGACTTCCAGTCATTAAGCGTCTGCCTTTGGCTCAGGTCCTGATCCCAGGGTCAGGCCCCGCATCAGGCTCCCCGCTCCGCGGGAAGCCTGCTTCTCCCTCTCCCACTCCCCCTGCTTGTGTTCCCTCTCTCGCTGTGTCTCTCTCTGTCAAATAAATAAAATCTTTTAAAAAAAAAAACAGTATCAAAAGCTAAAAATGGAATGAAATGGCTTATAAGCAAAGGTAACTCTGATTTCTTATATATCTGAAAAGAAGAATGCCCAGTAAATCACTTCCAAAACAAAAATAAATAAATAACAAAAATTAATAAATTTTCATTTACCTTGCTATGCAACAGAATTATCTGGGGCATTTGTTGAAATAAACACAGGGACAGGAATCTTTGTTTAACAAGTCCCCAGATGATAAGAATAAGCCAGTAAAATTTGGAAAATCACTAAGGTATTACACATACCACAAAGGCATGGCCATCCCACTACCAGAGTCTATCCCCTCTGAGGAGAAGGAATCTTTATATTTAAAGGTAAGAGGCAAAATAGGTCAATGAAATGTTTAAGTCAAGACAATAAGGACAAGGGAGAACAAATATGGTGACAATCACATTAGGATATTCCAATTAACATAACTGAATTAATGTTTCACAACTGAATAAACTTACAAAACACAGTATCATGAAGATTTAAAAGTGATGCGCTGGTATCTCGCAAAACAAACTGGTATTTATTGGACCTTAGACATACCTGAAAAGTAAGTTGAACTATCACACAGAACAAACTGACAGGAGCTCTGTGTCCCAAAAATGATGAAAAATATCCTCTGCATCTTTTTTGAGACTTCTTTACACTGATTATCTGTAACTGTCTACAGATTATTTGGTTCAGAGCAAAGACCACATCTTTATACAAAAAGGAACATACACAGCCAACATTGTTAATTCATTAGCAAAGGATGTGCACAAACTACCTTCAAAATACTAATTTTGAATACTTCATTTTAGCCTATCAACTATGACATGTAAATAAGAATGCAACTGATTTGTAGAAAGAAGGGGGAAAAAGCCCCCCAAGCCTTAAGGTCAAAGGAAAACTAGGACCAACTAAGTACACTAGGAATTCAATTTAGCAAATGGCATCTCTTCTGCAATTTAATCTTCTTTAAAGGAATAATTTCAAGAAAGGAGATAAATGGCAAATTTCTGAAACTGTAATTTCATATGTAAATATAAAAGTACATAAAAGAAACAATAGACAATTAAAAAAGAAAATGCTTAAAAATGGTAAGAATATAGCCAATTTTATCAAAATAAAATAGCCATATGTTTTGTTAGACCTGTCTCAGAAATTGAACAGCAAAGTAATCCTTTAAATAAGTCATTTAACCCACTACTAAAAGTAAAGTATAATAATTCTCTAATCATTTCTTACAATTGCCAAAGCTTCCATAAATGATATGATCATTTAGCCTAATTATCTCATTTTCAGATGAGGAAACTGGAATAAAAGTGAAAAGAAACATTCAGGAAAAAAAGAAGAAAGAAGAAATATATTTAGACTCTTATTCTCCACCCTTAGTGCTCTGCAAGATAGCAAGTTTTATTACATTTGTCCCATCTGGTTTACAGTCAATTGTCTCAAAAGTGACCACGTCTGCCATCGGAAAAGGAATATGCTTCAATTTTTTATTAAACATTGGTTTTCTGTATTTTTTAATCTTTTCTGCAATTAACTTTTTTATTCTAAAAATCAGATAAGACTATCTCTACTATGAAAACAGAAGCAGGCGCCTGGGTGGCTCAGATGGTTAAGCGTCTGCCTTCGGCTCAGGTCATGATCTCGGGGTCCTGGGATCGAGCCCCGCATCAGGTTCCCTGCTTGGCAGGGATCCTGCTTCTCCCTCTCCCTCTGCTGTTCCCCCTGCTTGTGCTCTCTCACTCTCTCTGTCAAATAAATAAATAAAATCTTAAAAAAAGAAAACAGAAGCAACTGCTTGATTACAGCCCAATATAAACATGTGAATTGTATCATTAACTCTTCATGTCCCAATTCCATATCCTTCTGATACTGGCTTCTAGATAACTTCCAACTGGGTAAAAATACACCACTCAGACCTACGAGAAGATCTAGTCTAACTAACCTTTATATATTTTACTATAAATGAATAATATGGCCCTTATAAGCTTAGTTACTATGAGTTCATCTTCCCAAGAAGAGTTCACTTTAAGTAGTTTCTCAACAGGAGGGCAACTGGAATTTTGAGGGAAGAAATGTTTCCATTCCTTCCTTGAGGGAAGACTTTCCAAGTAGAACGATGCAGACATGTTATTTAGGAATAAGTAAGTAAAAGCAAAAGTTTGCTCCGAGGAGTTAATATTAAGGATAAGGAGTAATGTAACTGAGGACTGCTGATTTTTTGCTATAAACCTTGTAAGATCATTTGACTTTGTAAATTAGGAGAATATTTTACTTAGCTTTTGTTTTTCAAAGGAAGGAAAAAGCAAAGAGGGCCAGGGGAACAAGAAAGAACAGAAGACAAAATAAAACTTTCCAGGTATGTCAGGAAGTCAAAAGTTCTAGGATTATAACCTAAAAACCCTGTAAAATCTTATGAATGTCTCCCCTACTTGGCTTGATTTTTAATCTATAAAATAAGAAGGCAAAATTTCACAAATGAGTCATATTGCCATATCTTACACAAATGTTACTTTTATCTGATAATTTTTCTCTGTATCAATACATAGTTTCCTTAAAATTGTCAAAAAATTCTAAAGGATATGCACTTCTGGTATTATGACTGGCTACAACAGCTATCAACAGCTGAGGATACATGTAGGTAGGGCTTTTTTTTTTTTTTTTAAGATTTTATTTATTTATTTGACAGAGAGAGACAGTGAGAAAGGGGAACACAAGCAGGGGGAGCGGGAGAGGGAGAAGCAGGCTTCCCGCGGAGCAGGGAGCCTGATGCGGGGCTTGAGCCCAGGACCCTGGGATCAAGACCTGAGCCGAAGGCAGACGCCTAACAACTGAGCCACCCAGGGGCCCCACCACATGTAGACCTTTCAAAGCATATGTGGACACAGAATTTAAAGGGAATTAATTCCCAAATTCTCAACCTTCAATATTTGTCTTCCTAAAAACTGATCTGTTCATCAGACATCATTCAATTTCTAAATTCCAACCTCTTCTTTCAAAATTTCTTTTCATTCTCTAAAGAAGTTTAAAAAGGGATGGTAGGTGGGAGAAAGATGTATCTTTTACCCACCCTGAAATTTACCTTTATACAGTGTCTGGGGTATGAAAGTCTTTAGAAGAGCAAAATAAGGAAATAAAATACTGCTGCTTAAAAAAGCTAATTACTTTAAGACTAGGTAACAAAACTTTTTATAAAAATAACAAATCTGGGGCACCTGGGTGACTCAGTCAGTTAAGCATCCAACTGGTGATTTCGGCTCAGGTCATGATCTCATAGGTACTGAGATTGAGCCCAGCAATCAGCGGGGAGTCTGCTTGAGATTATCTCCCTCAGCCTCTCCCCCAACATGCATGCACACTCCCTCAAATAAATAAATATTATTTTAAAAATAACAAATCTTCTATAAACTAATTACTCTTACGTAAAGACTAGGTAACAAATCTTTTTATTAAGTCAAGTAATTTCCAGTTCTTTGCATTGGCAGACGCTTAACGACTGAGCCACCCAGGCACCCCTTGAAAATTTTTTAACAGGGGCGCCTGGGTGGCTCTGTCAGTTAAGCGTCTGCCTTTCAGCTCAGGTCATGATCCCAGGGTGCGGGGATCAAGTCCCACATCGGGCTCCTTGCTCAGTGGGAAGCCTGCTTCTCCCTCTGCCCGCCTACTCCCCCTGGCTGTGCTCTCTCTGTCTCTCTCTCTCTAACAAATAAATACAATCCTAAAAAAAAAAAAAAAAAATTTTAATAAAAACTGTTAAATAGACAGAAGATACAAACACCCAATTAATAATTAAACGTAAAGAA